AGAAGGGGGACAACAGAGGATGGGATGGTTTGATGTCATCGATGACCCAATGGACATGAGTTTGAGCAAACTCTGGGAGATGGTGAAGGACAGGGAAGCAGGGCGTGCTGTAGTCCATCTTCTTCATTATGATGCAGTTCCTTGTGCCTGGTAGAGTGTCTGACACAAGTGGGTGCTCAAATATTCTCTGAATGAAGAATCTCTATTGTTTCTGTGTGAATGAATTTGCATATATAGCCATAATGAATGATTGAATATTCACTCTCCAAATACATTAGGCTAGCTTATAATGTGGTGTAAAATACCTCAGCATTAAAATGAGAAAACTATATTTGGATCTTGCTTAATCCTTAAAATGACATTTAAAAGTATGGTAGCTTTTCATTCTCATATCCCTGCTGAGGTGGCCTGTGTCTAGGGTAGGGTCGGGTCTCTGCCTCCCAAGTATGCCAGGGGTTTCCTTGCGGAGTGAGGGGAGAAGGAATCGGCCATGTCCATGGGAGTGTCCTCTCCTGCCTCCGATGTTTCCATCATGGCTTTCCTTTGTATTTATTTTTATTTTTTGTCTGGCTATTGATTGTGAAAACTGATAAACATCTTGTACTCTTCTGATGGATGTGAGAGTTGAACCATAAAGAAACCTGAAAACCAAAGAATGGATGCTTCCCAACTGTGGTGCTGGAGAAGACTATTGAGAGTCCCTTGGAGAGCAAGGGAGATTAAACCAGTTAATCCTACAGGAAATCAGCTCTGAATATCCATTGGAAGGACCGAGGCTGCAGCTGAAGCTCCAATATTTTGACCACATGATGCTAAGGGCTGACACATTGGAAAAGACCCTGATGCTAGCAAAGATTGAGGGCAGGAGAAGAAGGGGGATACAAAGGATGAGATGATTGGATGGCATCATTGACACAATGGAAAAACTCTGGGAGATAGTAAAGGACAGGAAAGCCTGGTGTACTGCAGCCCATGGGGTCGCAAAGAGTCAAACCTGACTGAACAACAACAATGCCTAACTCCTGGTTGTTGTTCAGGGGTTCAGTTATGTGTGAAGTTCTACAATCCCATGGACTGCAGCACACCAGGCTTCAGTGTCCTTCACTATCTCTCAGAGTTTGCTCAAACTCATGTCCACTGAGTCGGTGATGCCATCCAACCATTTCGTCCTCTGTTGTCCCATTCTCCTGTCTTGCATCTTTGGCAGTATCAGAGTGTTTCTCAAGGATTCAGCTTTTGGCTTACAGTTGGCCAAAATATTGCCGCTTCAGTATCAGACCTTCCAGTGAATATTCAAGGATGATGTCTTTTAACATTGACTGGTTTGATCTCCCTGCAGTCAAGTGGACTCTCAAGAGTCTTTTCCAACACCACAGTTCAAAACATCAGTTTTTTCCTGCTCAGGCTTCCCTATGGACAAACTCTCACTTCCAAACATGACTGCTGAAAAATTCATAGCTTTTACTATACAGACCTTTGTTCACAAAGTGATGTCTCTGCTTTTTATTATGCTGTCTAGGTTTGTCAAAACTTTTCTTCCAAGGAGCAAGTGTCTTTCAACTTCATGGCTGAAGTCACTGCCTACAGAGATTTTGGAACCCAAGAAAATAAAGACTGCCACTGTTTCCCTTGTTTTTCCATGATTTGTCATAAAGTGATGGGGCCAGGTGCCATGATCTTAGTTTTTAGAATATTGAGTTTTATGCCAGCTTCTTCATGCTCCTCTTTCACCTTCATCAAGAGGCTCTTTGGATCCTCTTCACTTTCTGCCATCAGGGTGGTGTCATCTGCATATCAGTGGTTATGGATATCTTACCCAGGAATACTGAGCCCAGCTTGCACTGCATCCAGCACAGCATTTTGCATGGTATAACCTGCATAGAAGTTGAAAAAGCAAAGTGACAACATACAACCCTGAACTACTCCTTTCCCAATGTTGAACCAGTCCATTCTTCCATGCCCAGTTCTAACTGCTGCATTTTGACCTGCATACAGGTCTCTCACGAGGCAGGTGAGCTGGTGTGCTATTCCTGTCTCTTTAAGAATTTTCCACAGTTTGGTGTGATCCACATAGTCAAAGGCTTTAGTATAGTCAATGAAACAGAAGTAGAGGTTTTCCTGGAATTTTTCTCAATCCTGGAGCAGTTGGAAATCAGCAGAACATTCCTGCTGCCAGTTAAAGATAGTCACCCCTAGTTACACATGAATAACTCTGTGACAAGACTCTGTATCCTTCAGTTCTCCCCTGCTCCACCCTCAGACAGCAATCACCAGGTCAACTTCTGTTAATGGACCCTGTCAGGCAATTTTTGGGGCAGAGAAAGTACAAAATTCTTTAGTCTGGCCCTTTATGTCCTCCATTACCCCAAAGTGAAGCCTCCAGGTACAGGCTGACCCATCCACAGCCTCACTCAGCAGGAAGAAGCCTATGAACTCAACTCTGTACCTACAGATGACATTCCCCTGCCCTGTATCCATGTCTGTTACTTGGCATAAAGAGAGATCCTGGACACACCTGAGTTCATTCCTAATCCAAGCAGGTTTAATCTCACTTCAAATCTTCCCCTATTCTCACTTGGTACTATGCATCAGTATAAATTCTTATGCTTGGTGATTTTTGGTGCCCTCTGCTAGTCTCTGATGGAGAAGGCAATGGCACCCTACTCAGATATTCTTGCCTGGAAAATTCCATGGATGGAGGAGCCTGGTAGACTGCGGTCCATGGGGTTGGTAAGAGTAGGACACGACTTAGCAAGTTCACTTTCATGCATTGGAGAAGGAAATGCCAACCCACTCCAGTGTTTTTGCCTGGAGAATCCCAGGAACAGGGGAGCCTTGTGTGCTGCCATCTATGGGGTAGCACAGAGTCAGACACGACTGAAGTGTTTTAGCAGCAGCAGCAGCTAGTCTCTGAAAACATTAGTTGGTATCCTGGGAAGTGCACTAGGCTAGGAGTCTGGATGGACAACTTCTAGCTCTATGTTGACATGATTTTATCAAAGCAGAGTTTGGCAGTGATTGCTAGGTAGAATTTTAAATTCAAGTGTCTGCCTCATCTGTTTCCTCTCACATCCTGTGCTAACTACCCCAGAGCCCTCACTCGATGGTGTAGCCACTGTCAGTTTTCTCTCAGGTTTCTCTCCACTAGGTTGGTGGGCTCTTTGAGATAAGGGGCCATCTTCTTCCTTATGATGTGATTCCTAGTGCCTGGCAGAGTGTCTGGCACAAGAGAGCACTCAAATATTCTATGAATGAAGGATCTCTACTGTTCCTATGTGAATGGATTTGGACATATAGCCATAATGAGTGATTGAGTACTCCCTCATAAAAAATATTAGGCTAGCTTTCAATGCAGTGTAAAATTCCTCAGCCTGAAAATGAGAAAAGTGTTTGGATCTTGCTACTTATAATCTGTAACATGAGGTTTTAAAAACCTCTGTTGGTTTTAAGTATCTATGGCTCATTTCCCCCACCTCCAAACCCAACACCTGCCTCCCATCCATCAACTCCACCACATTTTCAAGTAAAGACCAGCATAGGAATGACACTCCCAATCAGAGTTTCTCTGTTTGATGGGATTGAGTTGGGCTGTAGTGCACCTGCACAGCCTTCCAGGAATCTTCCACAGGCCCCCTGGAAGAACTCAACCAGGAAGCACAGATGAAGACTATGGACTATATGCTTCTCTTCAGCTCCAGGGATGCTTCCCTGCTCACAACAAAAATTACACTTGCTTCCTTTCTTTTTGTCCTTTCAGGTTCACTCCACAGATTTATCGAGATATCGTCTAAGTTTAAGATGTACAATGTGATAATTTTCATACAGGTCTATGTTGTAAAACCTTTCCCACAATAAGATTAAGAAACACATCCTTCCCCTCACATAATTAGCATTTTCTTGCTATTCTAACAGTGATAACATTAATGATCTACTCTCATAGCAACTTTCAAGTATACAAGAGAGTGTTGTTAACCATAGTCTCCATGCTGTATCTTAGGTCATCGTAACTTACTCATTTTACAACTCAAAGTCTGTACCCTTGGATGAGCAACTCCTCATTGTCCACCACCCCCAGCCACCCATGACCATTTTGGTTTTTATATTTCAATGGTATTAGATCGAGTTGCTTAAAGAAAAGAAAAGAAATTTCAAAAGAGGCAAATTCTGATTCCAGAGAGACACAGTTTTTTTTTTTTTTTTTTTTTTTTTTTTTTACTGGTCATGGTTGAGCAAAACAGAGTATTAGCTAAGGAGTAAGTGTGGGTAGTTGGGCCCCATCCTCCCGACTTATTGCTCTAATTCCAGGGCAGGGGAAGAAGATGGAAATGAAAGAGATCAGGATACATCTTTCTTCATGCATTGTTCCCCTGTAGAACACCCTGAGACATTCACCTGTTAAGTCCAGAATTAGTCTTAAATTCATGACTTGTGAAGAGATCAATATGTATGACCTTTGCTAAAACTCATTCAAAATTAAATAAATAAATAGACTGTAAGGACTGTCAATACATTTTTGGGCTAGTAGGCTTTAAAAAAAATTCAGACAACAGTGATAAGAGATAAAGGCAACATGAAATGTTTTATTGCAAAAATACCAGCCAGGTGAGCAATGTGGCATCATCTCCAGTTTCAGATAATCTTCATTTTTTTTTGTGTGGTTAAAAATAAAACACAGTTTTTTAATGTTTTTAATGTTACTTCACCTAATTCACCTGGGGATGCAGAATAATAGGTGTGGTCCTGGTCAGATCATTAAAGATATAGGTTCAGAAGTGTGTGTTTCTGTGTGTGTGTGTGTGTGTGTAGGGAAACTACCAAGGTATGAGGGAATTTAGAATTATATAGACCTCGTAATTTATCTTCTCACCTTGGTTAAAGGGCATGTATCTTTTTCAGGGCCTAAATCTAACAATCTGTTTGCACATTTGGACTGAGTTCTTCAATGGGACATCACCTGTAGCTTAGGGCAGGGAGTTCCTGGGGAGCGAACCGAGCTGTGACTAGGCCTGGGCGGCAGAGGGCGCATCCATGACTAAGGGATTTTCCTTCTCAGGGTTATCGTTCTTCTTGGCTACCGCGACAGAAGCAGGTGTTTCCGTGGGGCTCTTCCTGATATTGCCCTCTCCTCCGTCGGAATCCTGTCCCTGGGCGTCAGGCACTTGCTGCTGGCAGTGGCATGGGTTATTGGGACGGCAGGATCCATAGCTTGGAGGGGGCCTCTGTGGCAAATTGCTGCTGGCTTCATGCCCACTCTCGCTGTGCTCTGCCTCCAGCTCCTCCGAGATGCCTGGTGAGTGTCTTGGACCATGAGTGGTGCCTCGGCCCCTAGGGCAACTCAGCAGGTAGCTGTGGCCCTGACCCCGCTGAGGATGCCCCTCCTGTCTTGTGGTGGGGGTGGACTCAGGCTGCCAGTTGGACTGGTCACAAATTGGGCCCTGCAGGAGGGTGGGAAACACCTCAGTCGTTGGTCTTGGGATTGGCCAGACGGAGGGCGTCTAAGGCCCTGGGCCACGGTGAAGCCTTCGCTGCTGCCCTTGCGTTCATCAGCCTCTCCCTCCGCGCTCTTGGGACCTCGTGGGGGCAGTGCATGGCGGTGGATGCTGAAGCCCTGGCGGATGTTGGTGCAGTGGGCAGTGTAGCAGCTTCCCTTCAGTGGCGCGCCTGCTGGTCCGGTCACGTTAGCGGCCTCAGTGCCCCGCTCTCCCTGCACCACGTAGAACTCCACCGTCTCACCGTTGTCCATGCTGCTTTGGTACTTATGGGAGTTTTTCAGGATGATGGCTGTATGGTGAACAAACACATCTTCTTGGGTATCGTGCCTGCTGATGAAGCCATACCCATTCTTCTCCGTAAACCACACGACAGAGCCTAGGACCCTCTTAGCGATGACCTTCTTAGGCGCCTTTCCCTTGGCGCCCCCGGCGGTGGCCTTGGGGACTGTATTCTTGCTGAGGTGGTCTGTGTCTAGGACTGGGGTCGGGTCTCTGCCTCCCAAGGATGCCAGGGGTTTCCTCACGGAGTGAGGGGAGAAGGAATCGGCCATGTCCATGGGGGTGGCCTCTCCTGCCTCACTCCTCAGGTTGTCCTTGCTTTCATTTCTCTGAGACTGGGATGGAAATTTGTCCCTCTGAGGTTCGAAGGGTGGGAGGGGCTCGGGCTGGAGGCAGGAGCCTCTCTCTGGGAGGTTTGACTGTTAGGGACAAGGGATCTCTGGATTTAGTCCCAGAGTCTTGGAGAGGCCTGTGGCATTTCCTGGGACTATGGGGACGTGGACCAAACAATGGTTGCCATGATGATGGTGAGATCTCAAGGGGTGGGGGCGGAGTGAGTCCTTGACTAGATTGAGCTGGATGACAGGGCAAATGCACTCTGCCCCAGCCTTCTGCCACCACATCATAGTACCTCCTGCTTCATGGTGGAGAAGGAGGCACACTTGAAGCTCTAGGGAAGGGCCTTGAGCACCCTCTTGCTTGCTTGAGTGGATGTGAGGAGAGGACCCACGTTCCACCCCTCTTCCTTGGTTGGGGAGATTAACAGCTTTCTAAGGCACTCACTCAATATTCTCTCACAAATCCCTGGTCCTCTTCTAACCCCTGGGGAGCCCATTGTGTGGGTCAGGCATTTTGTGTCATTTGAGGCCAGATGAGAGCCGTGTGATTTGAAGACCCAATCAAAGAAACCTGCTGTGGGTTTTGTCTGTTTTGTTTGTGTTTCCCTTCTGATGGCTGTCGGGTCTAGAATGCTAGGTGCTGAGAGGACACTAACGTAATGCATGTTTATCCAGACTAATATTAAGATTGTGTTGACCTAAAACAAATAGACTGCCAGGGGTTGTTCCACCAAAAATGAGTTTACTCTGGATCAACAGGGAATTGAAATTCAGGGTCTACAACCATGGTGATCCACCTGCAAGCCTCCTTGACAAGGAGAAGGTAAATATTTGAACGAATGGGGAGTTTAGGATGGCTTCACTAAGCAAAGTGTCCATGGGAGGCTGGGGCTTTGAAGTATGGTGGCTCTTCATTTGCTGGGTCCTGGCAGTCTCTCATTGGCTGAGCTCTTGGCAGGCAAGAAGAGGAAGTCTTCCTTCTTCCTGCTGGGCTCTACTGTCATGTCTGAGAGTCCTCCCTCCTGGCCTCCCAACTCTATCTTAATGGAAGTTTCACTTTATTAATTTTTACCCTTTTCCCCTTTGATGGAGATCTTTCTCTGAAAGTGTCATTGATCAAGAGCCAAATTTTCCAGTTTCCACACCTCTTTCAGCCCCCCTCCCCCACTCACTGTCATGAATAACCTTTGTGGGCATAGTATCCCATATTAGAGTGGAAGTGCAGTGTTTAGAAGTGTGTTGAAGTCACATTAGAGTAACAAGGAGGGATCGGAGGGAGAACTCTCAGGCACTTTTCCTCTAAAGTTCATGTTTTCAAGATCATAGACATTGTGTTAATACTAAGCATTGTGCCACCATCAGAGGTTTGGCAGACAAACTGTCAACAGACCTAATCTGAATATCTTAGGAAAGATGTCTGATCACATATCATCTGCTTCAATTTCAGAAAATCTATACTTTCAGATCACTAGATAATGTGCAGGTCCAGTCAGGATTGGTGCTTTCTATAGGTGTGTCACGTGAGTCCAAGACTGTATTCCCTGGAGCTTGGTGGCACAAGTGCTAGCTAGCAGTACCTGATAGGGGCTTTTCACGCCAGGTAGAGGTGAGTCCTACTGGAAGGTTTTCTGCCAACACATGAAATATCCCAGCTGAAAGGTTGTTGAAATATCAGAGCACCTCTTCTGTTATCAGTGGTGTGTCAAAAAAGGCAGGAGCCAAGTGACTATCCTTTGACTGTCTAAAGGGTGAGAGCTTATGCATTCCAAACAGAGTGTATATGTGATTCAGAAGGACCAAAAGGCAATGCTTTTGGCCAAGGTAATTGGAGGACCTTCACAAATCTTGCCAACTGAGTCTTAAAATGTTGTTAGTGCATTTGACTAAACCAGAGGAATGAGGCTGGTCAGTGCTGTGAAAGTGTTGTAAAACCAGCCAAATGGTGCAGACCTGTGGAAGTAACTGACCAGTAAAATGGGGGCCTCGATCATTCTGAAGTTTGAGAGGACTTCCCCAGATAGGGAATCTTTTCTAAAAGGACTTTAACTGCAGAAGAGGCAGTAGACTCTCTGAAAGGAAAGGTGTTGGTCCAATGTGAAAACATACCAACTGTGACTAAAACACATCCACGAGGTGGAGGAAGTTATAAGGAATCCTACTTCCAATGCCTGAATGCACCATTGAGGCAGTTGAAACAGTCCAGAAGGAGTACAGCCAGTCCTTTCTAGGGTGTATTTTGAACAAGAGGGCCAAGTTGTTTCAAAGATGATACAGCTAATAATAGCTAAGTTGACACAAACATGATACACATCATACACAGTAAAGGAATTATAGATGAAAAGAATAAGATAGCACCACGCACCTGTTGGAAAAGACCCTTATGCTGGGAAAGATTGAAGGCAACAGGAGAAGAGGGCGACAGAGGATGAGATGGGTAGATAGCATGACTGACTCAGTGGACAGGAATCTGAACAAACTCTGGGAGATAGTGAAGGACAGGGAAGCTTGGCATGCTGCAGTCCATGGGGCCACAAAGAGGCAGACATGATTTAGCGACTCAGCAACAAGAACACACACCTATTAGAACTGTTCCCTCCCTCTCTTCCCCAAATGCAAACACCAAATACTGGAGAATGGGAAACAACACCAACTTTAACTCATTGCTGAAAGAACACATTTACTGGGAGGAGCCAAGATGGCAGAGGAATAGGACGGAGAGACCACTTTCTCTCCTACAAATTCATCGAAAGAACATTTGAATGCTGAGCAAATTTCACAAAAGAACTTCTGATCGCTAGCAGAGGACATCAGGCGCCCAGAAAAGCAG